AGGTTTTTGCTTTTTTAAATATTCTATTTCTCTTAAGTAACAAAATGTCAGAATGTTTTACAAGCTGAACGGGATTTATCAGTTCTTTATGTGTCTGGTTTATTTACAGAAAAACCTTGTCAATGCCAAAACAAATACCAAACAAATACTCACATCATTAAGGACAGCTGCCTGCCAGAACCATTTCATTTTAATAGGTATCACTTTGAACTGAAGAAGACAGATGGTGGTGGTGATGATGATGATGGTGATGACAGTAAGAAGAAGGATAAAGATGATGACGATGATGATGACGATGACAGTAAACGTAGAGATGATGATGATGGTGGTGATGACAGTAAGAAGAAGGATAAAGATGATGACGATGATGATGACGATGACAGTAAACGTAAACGTAGAGATGATGATGATGATGACGATGACAGTAAACGTAAACGTAGAGATGATGATGATGATGACAATAAGAAGGACAAAGTCGATTCTGACAGCATTTGTATCACCCTTGCCCCGACTGAAATAGCATCTTTGATAAAGTAATTGATCTTTTTTAATCTGAGGTTATCTTATTGCTCCTCTGATATTCTCATCTGTTTTCTTGACACCTAATCTGACTATTTCATGTGTACATGTAATTTTGTTTGGAATTATATTAGAATTAACATTTTGGTGAGTTATTTGGAGGTAATAGTTCTGATAGCATGATAGAAACATTAACTCCATTGTATTATGGTAAAGTATTCATACTATAGTATTAATGTAAAGTATGAAAACCTTATTATTAATGTTATGTGCATCAAAACAAAGCAACATTTTTCCACGAAGAAGAGTGTGCCCATCTCACTAAAGAAAAGAAACAAAGTATTCTGCAGAAACTGAGAGAATGTTGGGGCTTAAATTTCATATTCTACCATCGGTTATATATATAGTTATGCTCGAAATTATGAATAATCATGCAACATTTTGAGTTATGGTGATTTTTTTTTTTTTTTTTTTTTGACCAATAGGTTTTGTCTGGCCAAATTGTGCACAAAAGATACAAAAGACAGTAAGACATTGCTTTAAAGATGTTAATCATACATTTAAACCTATTCTGCAATGTTTGTTTGTTTTTTTAAATTAATACTGCCATGTCCAGAGTTATTCATATTCTGTGAGCAGTGGCAAAGCCTTTAGCCACAGCAATCAAACTTCAACTTTGAGATCTAAAAGAAACAGCCATCCCTCAATTCATGGGGAAAAAAAGGTCGTAAATGCACATTTGGAACACTTGATCCATAACAGCTCACTCTGTGGTAACAACTTGTTGCAAAATTCAGATACAGTATCAAAGATACGTCATGACAGACGTCAGGTGAAAAAAATAAACCTTTTTTACAGTTTACAAACTGCACCTAATCATGCTAGTATCAAACAACGCTGTACAACTATTGATCAATCAACCTAAACTCATGGCACAACAGAGAAAAAGATTTTTTTTTAATTTGCTGGACAGGCAGATGTAATAATAATAATAATAATAATAATAATAATAATATGTATATGCTATTTTTGTAAAAATGAGATCAATATTATTTATTTACTCAGTTTTCTGTCATCATACATATAAACACACCTGCTGTAATGTATATCATTCTAATGATTATATTTGACTCCTTTTGACTATTTTGTCAGTGTTTGTTTTATTATATTTGCCATGTGTTTTTCATTTTGGCTCCTCATCTTTTTCGATGTCTGTTTTCTTGTTTATTTCCCTTCCTTTTTGAAGCAAATGTTTGATTTGCATGTGCGAAGAAGAAAAATGGACTCTATATTTTTGAAACCCTTGACTTTACAACATTGTGCACTATAATGCTTTGTTTTCTTTGTATCAGTTATCATCATGAATAATGAGAATCAAACAGAGAAAATAAACCTAAATTGATGATGAGTGTTTGGGCGCAGTTTAGATTTTTTGATGCTTTACATTATATCATTAGTAGTTTTGTTATTTTTTTATTTAATTTTTTTTGAATGATGTAAATATTCTAGCTGTGTGTTAACCAAAGTTTTTTTTTTTTTAATTTGTACCACAGACTGTCTTGTTTTGAAGGCTGTGACCAAACTAAACAAAACAAGGATGTAAAAATTAAAATGGAATGTGATATTAGAGAGTGTCCACAAGTCTTGTGGAATATTGAGGACCCAAGAGATGAAAAGCACTGGGAAGTGAGTCCGATAAATTAATTCTAAATTGTATGCAGCTAAAAGATTGCATACTGTTGAATAATGTTTTTTTGTTTGTTTGTTTGTTTTTAATGGCATTATCTTATTAAATTTTGAATGATTTACAGAAAGAGACAAAGGAATGCTACAAACAGGCCAACCAAAGGCCACTCTACAGGCGACAGGAAGGTGGGGTTCAGTATACTGTGAAATCCAATGATATTGAAAAGGCCAAGTCCAAGGGTGATGATGTCACTGTGGTGGTAGTAACAAGTGTGTATACTTTTTTTTTTTAATAATACTAAATTAAACTTCTGTAAACAGTCTTGTCAAGGTCTGTTCATAATTTTTTGGCAACCATACAATTGTGGCAATGTTGCAAAAACATCTTAAATTATTAACAACGGAAGTAGTTTAACAGTAGTTTATCAGCTGCAGCTGATCATTGGTAATGTTGGTAATTTGCTGTTTTCTGATTATTAACCATGGAATACAAAACAGTTGTTTTTTGTTTGTTAAAACTTCTTATTTCTTTGACATAATGTACATTTGTCCATTTCTTTTATTCCAAAGAGGATACTGTACCAATTTACAAAAAATATATTTTAAAGACATCTGGAGACAACAGTGCTTCTATAACCAATAAGCCGACGACTACTGCTGCAACAGTGGATGCTGGAAACACTAAAGACCAAAAAAACAACAATGCTGGTTCAACTAAAGCATCCTCTGGCACTAACAGTGCCTCCACTGGCTCTACTACCACCACTACTGCTGCAAATGGTTCTCCTGGTCAAACCACTACTGCTAATGGTCAAACCACAACTGCTGATGGTTCCCCTGATCAAACCACAACTGCTAATGGTTCCCCTGGACACGCCACTACTGCTAAAGGTCAAACCACTACTACTGCTACTGGCACTGGTACTTTAGCTCCTACTACTGGTTCTACTGGGACTGGTACTGCTGTAACTGTTGCTACTACTCCTGGAACTGGTACTTCTGCTGCAACTGGTGCTACAACTTCATCAGTAACCACCAGCAACACTGGTGTCCTATCATGTAATATAGCACCATCAAGTGGAACACTCCTTGATGCTTTTATTATAACTTGCAACACTGAAAAGCCCTGTTCTAACTGTCAGTATTGTCTTACGGCTAATGGTAAGTACTTTCTGGTTGAAAAAAGTATTTTAATAAGATTTATCTGGCGGGAACAATCTCAATTTTCTCTTTATGCTATTCACATAATAACTCTTGTGTATTTTCAAACACATTTTTTTTGTTTGACATTGTCAGGTAAGCATCTGCGTTGCAGTGGCAACAGTGAAGTAAAGGCTGTCTTCCTTCCTCTTGGAAACAGCAGTGCTAACTACAACCTAGTTATAACAGCAACTGCAACAAGTGGCAGCTTTGCAGTGAATGCCACCATAACTACACAGGTTTGTCGAGAACAGAATAGATGTACTGACAAGAGAAAAACTATGGGAGTGTACTTTTTGCTCCACTATGTTAAGAAAATGTTTTTTTCTCCTCAGGTGCGGGATTCCAGAGACAACTCTGGCTCTTCAGTAGATGATCTCAAGAATGCAGTAGCCACTGCTGTGGACCAGCTAAATAATCAAGGTCTACTGTCAGGAGAAACTGTTGGACAAATGTTAAATTCTGTGGCTGATAAACTGAACGATCAGTCGGATGAATACCAAAAAGCAGAAAGGCAACAGGTAAATGCACTCGCAGGCTATAGATTTTGTTAAAATATTTGTGGAAATTGTCTTGCAATGCAAAAATGTCTAGTTAACTAGTGGGTGTAGGTGGTTTGGATCAACCTGAGAAAACACAACATTTCTAGTTATTTACTTAATTTGTAGGGGAATGACTACAATATTGAGCATGAATTTAACGGTATAATATATAATGTCAGAGTTAACATTATTATAGGACTCCCCTGGCTGTCCACACTGTGACAGTGTAAAACTGAGCAAACTAGGCAGTCAAGACAATACTAATAAAGAGCATTGGTGCAGTGGAAAACAATCTAGGTCAGAATTTGAAATGCTTTAGCAGAAAATTAATTCTTCTAACACTTAAGTGTTAGAAGAATTAATTTTCTGGAGAATTCGGTTTTAAAAAATCACATCACCTTAATGTGGCTTTGGCTGTATGGGTCACACTAAATGCACTTTGCAGACTTCCTGAAATATCAGCACATTCATTTTTTAGGGTGAATAGCATGAGCACAACTTAGGCTACATGAATCATCATATTAAACATTTGTTTTTGAGTTTGACCAAAACACAGAAGTAAGTCTCGATCAGGGCCAATTCAACAGCTGCATGAGCGTGAATTCCTACTGGAGACGTCACAACCAACCAGATAAAATGGTTTGTGTCTGCAACTTTTTGGACTGTAAAAGTATAGATTGACTGCTTATTAAGCCACAAAGTCTTGTTATCTACTTACTCTTACAACAATAAGGATGTGTCAATATGGTGAGTTTGGATTTGGCAGAATGTTAATTTTACATAATAATGGATCACATTTCCAGTTAACTTCTACAAAGGTGTGCGTAACAGGTGACAGATGTGTCTCTTCAGCACAAATCATTAGCAAGATTGTTTTTTAGATTGGGGCCCCATGGCCTAAGTACCTAATGAAGCAATGTGCATTGATATTGGATATAAAATCCTTTGTGAGGGCCTGGGATTTTCTTCATATGGATAAATTAACCTTTACAAAACAAAAATATATGTATCATAAATGCTTGGAAATACTTTTGTCTTTTGAAGCTCCGGAAGATGTTGCTGGACACACTGGTTGACACAGAAAGCGAAATTCCCACCAGAACACCATTGGAAATCGAGGTGATAGCCAGAGCACTAGATGCTCTCGTCCAGGAAGGCACTGAACTCAGTTTGTCTTCACAGGTACTGTACAGAGAATACAGGACAGAGGAATGGATGACCACTTTATTTTACACTACATTAACAAGATGTAGCAGGTCCTACTTTTACTTTTAGCAAAATGAAAAAAAAAAAAAACAATATTATGGCATAATGCTGCCCAGAAAATATGTCTATGTTAATAACAGTTGATTCTCACCTCCAGGAGAAGGCTTCAGCATTGTTTGCAAACCTCAGCTCATCTCTCCTCCTCATGGTTGAGGACAAAAGTGAAAAAAACAAGAAAGAAGTACACAGTGCAGCCGGCGCCATTGTGGTGGGAGTCAGCAGTATGATGGACTATTCTTCCAATGTGAGTAAACGTCAAACATCATGCTGATGGGATTTACTTGTCTCTTGAAAGTAGGGCCATTTAAAAATTCCATATGAAGAGCAATGACGGAAACCCTTCAAAAGCAATTTTGCTCATCCCAGTTACATTTGAAGAGTTTAACATTCATTTCTACTGTACTTTTTATAAGAGCTGTTTCTTGTTAATGGGTTTCTTCAACTCAGTGTACAATGTATATTCTCTATGACTGGTGCCATTTAATTGTCTGCTGAATATGTTTGCCTTTCACCTACTACCTGTGTTAAAGTGTTATTCAAGAAGATGATTTCTGTGACCAGTGATACTTTAGAGCAGGGGTCTCGAACTCCAGTCCTCGAGGGCCGCAATCCTGCAAGTTTTAGATGTTTCCTTCTTCCAACAC